TAGTATATATATATATATATATATATAAAAGAATTTAAGTAAAAAATAACAAACAAATAATTGAAATAGAAATAATAACAAAAACTCAAAATAATTGTTAAAATTAAAACTCAAATACATAATAATAAATAATAAATAATCTAAAAAGTATTAAAAAAATTAAACAAAGGCGACAAATTAATACAACTTCTTGATCTTCTATTCTAGAAGAAGAAAAAAGTATTTTTTTTAAAATATTTATATTCATGATTAATTTATCATTACATTGTTTTAAAAACTTTCAATTATCTTACAATATTGATGGTCGTTGTATCTTTTATTTAGAAATAAATTATTTTAAGAAAAGAATATTCATATTATGTATAATTACGATCTTCAATAGGGATTAATTTATTTTTAATAATAAATACTTTATATTAATATTATAATTATCTAAAAAATTTAGAAAATTATATTTAATACATCATGCTGATAAAAACAATATTTTTTTTATCATGCTGAAACATTTATATAAATATTTATAAAACTCCATTAAAAATAAATTTAAATAATTTATCAAATTGTAATTGAAACATATCTTTAAATCCATTTTGATAATGTGTGAAAGACTCATGCGACGTGTAAATGCACAAGTCAACATATTGACTTATAAACTAGTACTTTATAGCATCATATTTATTGCATAGTTTCAAGCATCTAATAAAACGCGCTTTCTTTTTTATATTCTTTTTATATGCATAGTTCTCACTCTTTTTTATCGGTACTTTTTATAGTACTTTTTATATGCAGTTTGAACTTTGAAGCATCCAACATATCACACATGCCTCTTGCAAATCATTTAAGAGCTGAAAGAAAATAAAGAATCAACATATTTACACCACTCAAGCTAAGCAATATAACAGCCCCACTAACCCACATATATTTGTTAAGCTATATTTTAATACATTGGGGGAGGGACTGAGAAAATATTAATATTAATATATATATATATATATATATATATTA